ACGATTGTTGAAATCATCTCGAAGAAAAAGAGAGATAATTATATATGTTTAACGATGTGACCTTTGGGGCGAGTGCTGTTGTACCATTAAAAAACACTTGAAATATTGATCACCCACTTTAAATCTTGACTAGCAGTGATGTCACATGGAGCTCGACGGAGCTTAAAGAGACAGCAGAGCATCTGGTTGAAACTAATAGAACCGAGTGCAATTTTTGACGAAAGTCATTGTAAAGTATTTTATTCATTGTTTCTTTTAAGATTTCTACAAACCAAAAAAACCTTTAATGTTATTTAATTATTGGCCATTGTCGCATGGAATCCTGGTAGCAAAGGAATTCTGGGAAGGTTTCACTCAAAAATTTGCTTGATGTATGCACAGATTTCCTTCCGAATTTTCTCTGTACTTATACCTTAGTCTATTGAGCTCATTGTGCTCGCTATTAATATTGGATGACAACTTTTGATATCGTCCATTAAGTTTAAAAAAGCTGTGATTAGGTTAACTGGCTTTGACAGGTAGACTATTTGAAAACAGCAAAACTAGTAATTTATAAACACTAACTAGTCATTTGGACCACTGTGGTTGTAAAGTTATTGACAAACCTTTATTTTAGAGAATACAGATTAAAGGAGTAGGACTGAAAGTAACCTATAGATAAATGATAAAAAAACTCATAAAGGGTATATACTTCTCTAAGCTCTCCTTGTAACATGCAAGCACTGAAGGCAAGGTGCTGTCACAAAGTTTTTGAGACTTATTTATCAGCATTATAATTTTTTTCAGCCTCAGTTAGTACAAGCCTGCTTCCATGGTGATCCAGATGAAGTCCGAGCATTGCTTTACAAGAAAGAAGATGTCAATTACCAGGTGTGTTCATATGTTGTATTTAAAGTTTATGTATTTATAATTTCTAAGAAAACAACAGATATTTTCTATTAAAACCATAACTAAATATTAAATACATGGTTACTGTCTTAAAAAGTACCTAATATTAGGGCAACAGTACGGGTGACAAAGGGTGAGGCTTTTCCAGTAAAAAATGAATTTTTTGTTTATTCATTTTGTTTTCCAGAAATTTTTATTGGTCTGTCCGGAATTATTAGCCACAGAGTTTATTAGTTCGTATGAAAATGTATTAGTCTGAGACTAACATTAATGTTGACCCCTGCATCATTGTGCATCTTATCTGTATATCCATCAGTGAGAATTGATCCGTAAATTACCCTGTTTATGTTTAGGATGCTGAGAAGAGAAGCCCATTACATGCGGCAGCGTACTGCGGAGAAGCGGAGATCGCTGATCTTCTGATAATGAGTGGAGCACGCGTTAACACTAAGGACAACAAATGGCTGACTCCTCTCCACAGAGCATGCTGTTCTAAGAGTGATGTATGTGTCTTACACTATTATGCATTATGCTATTTTAAATTAATGTTACATTTATGATTTGAGGGCATTTTTTTCAATTTAAGCCAACAAAGATATACTCTTTAATCAGGGAAAGACGAGAAAAAAAAATCAAACTTTCATTCATATATTATGGTAATTTAATTTTTCAGTGTGATGTTTTTGTAGTCATTGTGTAATCAATTTCTCTTTCAGGACACAGTTGAAACATTGCTAAGACACCAGGCGGATGTGAATGCGCGTGACAAGAACTGGCAAACTCCGCTACATGTAGCAGCAGCGAACAATGCCGTGAGATGTGCCGAGTATCTAATACCGCTACTGACCAACGTCAATGTATCAGACCGCGCTGGGAGAACCAGTCTACAGCATGCATCATTCAATGGCCACAAAGAGGTAAATCAAGCAAGAATTGATATGCTGAATAATATTCCTTACCTGTGAAACTGGAGGGGACTGTAGATTTCAGTTTAAGGATTTTAGTGAGAGATATGCAGCTTAATGTTTATTAATAGCTGTGAACTATTTATTTTGCTTTTGTATTTGTAAAAAAGGTTTCCTCAGTGGCAAAAATTAATCATCATGGATTGATTTCAAATTGTTGAATGGTGAATAAAGATGACACAAATAATAGTTGGGTTACAGTAATCCTTTTATTATTTGAATAGATCTGATGTAGCGTAAGAGTGTTTTATTGTCTTGTTCATTGTCTTCTTGCCCATTGCCAGATATAATCATTAAAGTACTGCTAATATTTTTCCTACAGATGGCTAAGCTTCTGCTAGAGAAAGGAGCCACAATAAATGCATTTGATAAGAAGGATCGCCGGGCCATACACTGGGCGGCTTACATGGGGCACACAGAGCTCGTCAGATCTCTAGTGGAGTATGGGGCAGAACTCAATTGTAGAGATAAACAGGTAAAATCTATAGAGATCTATAGAGATATAAAGTTATTAAATTCTATAGTCTATAGAGATAAACAGATATTAAAAATCAGAATAAGATAATTCATTGACTGGGATATACAAGTACAGTCCATTGAGATACACAGAATTACATGTAAATAGTGCATAGAGATGAACATAAAGGATTTAGTGCATTAAAAGAATCAGGAATGCTAACATTTTGTGTGTATTTATTATAGTCATTTACAGAGAAAAAAAAGACCTTTATTAGGTTAAAAGATATATCATCCTATTTCCTTTTACCTTGACTTGCATTTTAAGAGAGCAATGAAATGTTTGAAAGAGAATTTTTTTTGCAAGCCTTTCTATAGAGATAAAAGAAAACACATCATCCTATTCACTTAACCCAATTTACACAATCTTTAGAAGTATTTTTCTGTATAGCACGTAAAAACACAAACATTGATAATACATGTACACAGTGACCTCTTGACCTTACAGATGTACAACCCTTTACATGTGGCAGCCTCAAAGTGATATGACTCTTTGGATCCAGTTACTGTCATAATAATATATATGTTAATGTTTGACCTTGCAGATGTACACGCCCTTACACGCGGCGGCCTCTAGTGGACAGGTCAGTGTAGTCAAGCTCCTCCTAGAGCTGGGAGTGGAGGTGGACGCGGTCAACGTCCACGGAAACACCGCCCTCCACATCGCATGCCTGAACGGACAGGATGTGGTGGTCACGGAACTCCTGCAGTTTGGAGCATCCATTAATGCTGTGAATCACAGGGGAATGGTCAGTAATGAAAGTGTTTAATACGAAAACGCTTTAGTGTTTATTTGTGCAGTGTAAAGGGTTTAATATAAGTATGTGGTCAGTTGATGCTACAGTAAAATGTGATTATAACTAACATGCTTATTATGAATTGATGCATATAGTGAAGTGATTTTCATTCCCCTAAGCTTTTAAATGTTACATTTATGTGAAATTTTATATTTAAATTTAATTTTGTAAAGAGATATTATATACTTATCTTTGGATAAAAAATAATTGTTTTTGGATCATATTATGTACTTATTTTGGGATCCTATTACATGATGATTTCGGGATCCTATTTCAGACTCCCTTACATTATGCGGCCTCGTCCACACACGGAGGGATTTGTCTGGAGATCTTAGTGACAGAGGGGGCCAATACAAAGACACAGGTAGATTTATAGTACTCACTGCACTGGGCTTCAGTCACAGGAGTATTATCAGATCTTTTTCATTATAAATTTAATGCTGGCAACACCTATTAAACAAGTTCAAAGGCATGCCCTCTGTTACAGAAGAACTTTATTCCATATGTTAGTTTATTTAAAAAAAAAATTATTTACATGCATATTATAAGAAAGAGAAGAAAGCAGATGCATGACATTTAATTATTATGAGACAAACAAAACTAGGAATTTCTGGGATATAGTGGGACTGAAAGTTAAACACAGTTATCATTGATAAAAGATTACAGAAAAATTTATTGATAAGCTGCTTTACATTAATTCGTTTGAAAGTTGGATATGTATTACAAACACATTAAAAAAGCGGGTACATTTGATTTTAAATACCGTATAAGTGGTATTTTTTACGTGCTGCTAATTTTTACTAATTTTTACGAGTTTTATAAATCCGTAAAATTTAAACGCGTAAAATTTCACAGAAGTAAAAAACGCATCGCCTAAATTTTCAACATCATATTACATGTATCAGAGTATATCAGTGTTATTACTGCCATTTAGTTAAGCACGTGGAGGGTATAGAATTAGTACTGACAACGATGGTATTATTTTGGACTTTTTAATTGATTATCAATTAGGATCAAACAAGTAAATCTCTTTACTTGCACGAATTATACAAACATTGTCAATTACCTGGTTACTCTTACGGGACGCATAATTTCTGATAAAGGCTTAATTATTGCAGACTGAAGTCTTCAAATTATATCCGTTTTTCAAGATTAGAACCCTTTTTTTTTTTTTAATTTGCTTCCAATAAAAACATCGACATTTAAGTACACTGTAATCCGTGTCCCAGGTAATTCTGTCAACTTAATCATGATGGTTTGAGTTATCTCTCTTTGTTTCAATTAAAATGAAGACTGACACGTGGTGCACAACAATAATTATACTAGATGTGCATTAATCAAAAACAGGAGTGAAATATAAAGGTATTCAAATGAATAAACATATCATCATTTCATGAATTGACACTCGTTATCACGGGAACAATTTCGTTTTTATTTTCACACCGGGTTGTCCAGACACATTTAAAACGTGCTTGTATGTAAACGCATTCAAAATGTGAAAACATTGATCTGGAATTTCACCTCTGATGATTTTAATTTTTACGGACTTGCTCAATTCGTAAAAATTTAACATGTAAAAAATGAAATCACCCTATTTCAGCTGAAATTCGTAAAAATTTACAGCAGTAAAAATTACCCGTTATACGGTATATGTATACATTTTTTTTTGCATGCTGACTTATATGATATATTATTGCTATTTACAAATGTATTATATTTTATGGACATGGGGTTTTAACTGGTCATTATATGTAAATGCATTCAAAGATATTTTTAGATACAAACTTGTCAACAAATACTTCAGTGTTGCTCTGTCAGTATAATCATGGAAACATACATTTGAAATTTTTGCTAAAATTATTGTTTTCTGTGAAAAGTCAAAGGTATTTTTGTGGAAAATAGTGCCACGGTATATCAGTCTCACATGTATGTTACATAAACAGGATAAATATTTTATTTTTTTTCCTAAAGACACCATCTGACTCCAAGGGACAAGAAAGTGATAAAAAACCAAGGAATAAGTGTAGGTTTGGGGCCAGAGGTCAAATTGCATGCTTGGCTGCTTCTCCTGTACTAATGAATATGCATTATTTATTTATCTCATTTACATATACATGCTCTGCTGTCCTGGCAGAAAAGTATACTGCATGTAAGAAAAATGATGTGACGTGATGTATGGGTAGGTTTCATACCTATGTATACTTATACATTTCCTTAATCCAAACAAAAAAAAAACCTCTACCACCTCAAAAAAAAAAAAAGAAAAAAAAAAAAATTAAAATCAGCAGCCATATTCATTTTCTTTAATAAAGGTTCAAATGATAAATTCTTCAACCATTCCCTTTGGAACATTAGTTAAATACATGTAGGTCTCCCTGGAGAACAAAACTTAAAATTATCTTGGGATCAAAGCTATGATGGATAATGTGTGTTGTTTAATGTCCCTTTCAAGAATTTTTCACTCATCTGGAGATGCCACCACTTACTGGTGGAGAGCTGCAAATTTTGTTCTTAACTCGGCATTTACGGCCATTTAGCAGGGAGGGATCTTTTTCATACCATCACCTACTGAGACATGGGACCTTTATTAGAGCAGACGCTCTAACCACCCTGCCATGCAGGTGATACTTTAATGGGTGAAGTCATCAAGAAAGTTAATGGTTAAGATTTAAATTACCAATGGAGTATTTATACATATTTTCATAGTTTTAGGAAATGTCAATGCTTAACATATGCTTTTCCTTTTCAACCCTGGGGCATATTCTGACCTGACCACTTTTCTGTAATTTACATATAATTTCTATTTTCAGCATCTAATGTAATCAAAAAACATTGGGCTTGAAAATTCCACTATTTTAAAGGATCAAGAAATAAATATGAATGTTGCACAATATGTTGTTGTTTTTGTATTCATCTCAAGAATACACTTAGGTAAATTGAAAATTTAAACATACACTGTAGTATGAATTGGAATTTTCAAGACCAAATAAATGTTTAATGTACTTTGAAAATGAAAGTTGACCATTTTAAAGGTACGTGATATTAAAGAATCTTAGTATTATTACAATATTATATCTGCTTAATGGATGTAATATTTAATCAGAGTACTCATTCCAAATGTCTAATGAAGATTTATATAACACAGGAAATTTGTATTCAGACTTTTTTCTTCGATTAAAGATACCATAATACATGTGTTACATATTTTACCATAATTGTGAAAAAAAAGTCTAAAATTGTCAAAATACATTATGATCATGATGATTGCAAAAGTATGGATTCTTATCAAACTTATGTGATGAAATTTTCATAAATGGTCAAAATTCATATCAAGTCCATAATAAACATTCTTATGTTGAATTGCATACATGTAGTATTCTCCTGATCTTAAATAGGGAGGTTTGTTTTGAGATATATATCTTGCATTGCTGACCTCTATCTGTGTATTATTCCAGTGCAATGATGGGCGATCCCCTTTACATATGACTGCAGTGCATGGTAGATTCACTCGAGCACAGACTCTACTTGAGCACGGTGAGCCAGAACTAATTTCTGCTTGCTCTGGTGTGAATGCACTCAAGAGTGTAATTTTTCCTCAATACAAAGAACAAGCACCTGACGTGACTCATCTTTCTTGTATAAAAAAATATCCCCTTACCTTATGGTTTTTTTTTATTTAAGAAAAAAAAAGTAACGTCAAGTGCCTGTGATAGAAAGAATTAATGACAGCCGGAACAGAAAATCAGATTCAACAATTATGCACCCAAGAGTGTTATATATTTTTCTTCAGTTCAAAGAATTTATTACTGACAGAATGGAAAATCAGCTTCAACAAGTCTTTTAATTTTTAGATTTAGAAAAATACTTACCTCTGTTTAATTGATTGGCTTTAGGATTTTACTCTATTAAAAATTTAAAGTATTTTTGAAAAAGAGAGACCCTGCTATTTCCAGATTTTTTTTGTAAACATGTATCTTGGACATTGAAGATCTTCATTTAAGAGTATTAGTATTATTATATTAGGATATATAAAGGGCAGAGAAAGGAACGTCACTGTTACAGAAAAAAATGTCTTACCAAGGTCACAAAACACACTCCATCTCAATACTTGACTTTTTACACTCTTGGTGTATGTCTACACTACTGTATGATATAACATTTTATCTATACTTGAAAATATTTTAATATTTTTGTTAAAAAATGGTTGAGAGTAAACTGTGGGATTATGGCATGTTTATTTATACAATTATTTATTCATTTGTGCATGTCATTCAATTTATAAATTTTCATCACTAATTTAACTAAAAATATATATGTATAATTTTAACAGTTAGAATTGTATGCATTTTTAGATAACAATTGATATCTAGATGTGCTAATTTATAAAGTATTAGGTAGTCATAGACTTAAATTTGTAAGTACACACATGTATAAACAATAGAAATGCATTGCTTGATATATGCCAGTATATATTCCAAAAGTAGTCAATTCTTTCCGATATCCTACCATCCATATATTATCATGATCATGAAAACCATTTGTGTTTTCAAAAGTTAATGTATCGTATTTTATGAAGCCCACTTGTTGTAAATATTTTTTCATTAGAAGAAAATTTTTTCAATATTCATGGGTTTTAATTCAGCTACATGTAAGTAGATTTGCATTCGCATATTAGGCTTTTCTATGTAATGTACAAGTGATTAATATTTTTTTAGACAAAAGCGTACAAGACAGAAATTAGGTTTTAGAAATATAGTCCTTAAATGCATGATTCATGTTAGATAATTTGTTGACAAGCTCGTATACCTACAGGGGCAGATATTGATGTGTGTGATAAGTTTGGAAACACCCCCCTTCATATAGCGGCGAGATATGGACACGAGTTACTGATAAATACACTACTGGAGAATGGATCTGATCCAATGAAGTAAGTCAAACAATGAATTAACAGTCTAATGAAAAAAATCTGTTTTTATACGCCCGTCTTAAGACGGGACGTATTATGTTATAGGCTTCGTTGTCGTATATTACATTAAGGTCCGTATCCGTCTGTCCGTCTGTCTGTTAGCTTTTTCGTTTATATCATAACTTTAATACTACTAGGCCTAGGAATATCAAACTTTGTCATCTGATGCATCTTGGGTAGAAGGTGTGTCGCATACAAAAAGTAGGTCGCTCTGACCTTTAATTAAGAAGTTATAGCCAAATATGGAAAAATCCTTTCCGGCCCATAACAAGAAAACCATAAGACTTACAATCATCAAACTTGGCCAGTTTATGCGTCTTAGGTAGAAGGTGTGTCGCGACCTATTTCAAGGTCACTGTGACCTTTAATTTAAGTGAAATTAAAAAAAAAAAATATGTCTTTTTACTATTTATTTACACATCCCAAATAATGTAAGAGTATTGCACTGTTCTTATTAAAAAAGTGTTAAATCAAGAAAATACTTATTTTATTAAAGCATATACTTGACAGCAATCTATAACAAATATAATGTATGTTAGAGAAATCCTACCTCTCCCTTGAGTGTAATTATCAAGCACTGGTCAAGAAGAATTTTGATAACAGAAAATTACATGTCAAATTAGAGAGAAATTAATGGGTTTTGAGTGCGAGGAGCTAACTGCCAGAGCATTGGTGTTATCTGTCCCTTGAGTATTGGGCAAATGGGTAAGCCTGTTTGATTAAAAATAGGCTATAGCTCTTGTTGACTAGCTTAATTTGATGAAAAGTAATTAAAACTAATTTGATATTGCATTGTAGACTAATCTGATATTATGTAATATTATTTATTTAAAAACTAATTTTATGGGGTGGGGTGGAATCAGCATGTCCATATGAATTACATATTAAAACCTGTTGGAAATTAAATCTCAACAAAAAAAAAAGTCTTTGAGTATTTTATATGTTTTTAAACAAAATTTATAGTAGATAGTGCAGACCCATTCATCTCTTGGTAGTAATGAGTAGACAAGCATCCAGTTAAAGATTTATTAATGAGTTCAATGTAGGAAGGCTAGCTGTCTCTTATCTGTACCCTTTGGGGATTAGACAGAAGAACTGCTGGTCAGTTTATAACATATGTCATTTGATGGCCAGCCTTTTTTTTTTCAAGATTAATTTGGTATAGATTAAGTTGTTAAGACTAATTTGATGATGGGCATTTGACAAGGTCTAACACAACCAGCACAGAAATCTATCAGTTATGTAATATTTATTATAATTGATGCCTACATCACAGGGGATGGATAAATATTTTAAGGAATTGAAAAATCATCGAAATCTTAGAATCACGGGCAAGTTTGATGTGATTTTCTTGCACCTAAACTGTTCAAGAAAATTGTAATTTTTTTGACGGGCGTATCATGCTGTGGCGCGGCACTTTATTGGAATGATATATTCAGATGTTATTAGGTAATCATCTAGTATGATAAAGAAACTACAGTACATGAATGTAAATCGTGTATGGTTGATATCTTAATGTATATTACATGTAAGCTTGATATCTTGATGTTTATTACATGTAAGGTGGATATCCTTATAAACATTAAATGTAAGGTCGATATATTTATGTATATTACATGTAAAGTCGATATCTTCATTTATATTACATCTAAGGTTGATATATTTACGTGTTGTCTATGATGATTCTGACAGGCGGGGGACCAGTGGTATGCTCCCGGTCCACATCGCGGCTCTGAATGGCCACGTGGACTGTGTGAAGAAGCTCCTGACTGCTATGGTAGATCTGGAAATTGACATCACGGACAACTTTGGTAGAACCTGTCTCCATGGAGGGGCGTGTAGTGGGTAAGTCTACACCGCGGGTCTACAGAATATCAAAACATGGTTATGCAAGTGCTTTTTAATGAATATATAATTGTCAGATTCACATTATGCAATTTTGCATGATTGTATAATTTTATTTGATTATTATTTGTGATTTGAATTTAATATTTAATATTACAGGAGAGTAGAAGTGGTGGATCTATTGTTGAAGATGGGAGCAGATGTGCTGAGTGCAGATCATGAAGGGAGGTAAGCAGTCTTTATGGCATCGAGCTCTAGAGCTCAAACATCATCTAGCTAGTGAAATCGCCACTGGATGTACATGTACTGTCGAAGATGTCATAGAAAATAGCTATCAACCAATCCTTTGATTTTCATTTGATCAGCCATATATTAGGGTGCTGTGGGTGCCCTATAGTTGTCAGTTTGTCTATCTGTCAGTTGTTGGTCCCTCTGATTTCATCTGTGTTCAAGTTTTCATATTGTTTTCTTTTTGTTTTTTGGCAGGGTGCCTCTACATTATGCCAGTGCTCACGTTCACAGTCAGTGTGTTATCTCCCTTATAAATGCTGGCCGAGCGGCGGTCAACATTACAGACAGACGAGGGTGTACACCGCTACACTACGCCTCTGCATGGGACCACGATGCAAAGTATATCCATTTTGTCTTGTTTACAATCTTTACTTTCATCAGTAAACATGATTAGTGTGTAGTGAAAGTTTTTGCAAGTTTTACATAGTTTACATTTTTATGGGAAGAACAGAAGTGGAATTGTATGGTGCTTTGTAAAATACATTTTGTATTTTTCTATTTCATACAGAGTTGTGGAACTGTTACTTAAGAATGATGCCAGACCAAGCATAAGAGACCATGAAGGTTTTAACACATTACACTATGCAGCTGTGAAGGGACATCGGCTTACCCTAGAAATGGTTTGTACACAATTAAGATGGATAAACATTGGTTTTGTCAATGAATACTTAGAAGATAAATGATTTACCAATGAACGATGCAAGTATCCATTAATTTAGTAAAACTGCTACTTGATTATGTACTGTACACAGAGTTGAAGATTTTAAAAGTAAAAAATCAGGAATTATTATTTTCTTTAACCAGGGAGATATAAACTTTTTCCTGGTTTTACTTGCCAGTAGACAATTTTCAAATTCTTCTTTTTAATAACTTGTATTATAGCTATGAGATTGTGCTTCAATCAGATTTAATTTTGTAATAATTAATTTATTGTAGTTATTAGATTGTGCCTCAACAGATTTAATACGGAGTGGAGCTCCATTGTCTCCAGCCCATATTGCGGTCAGTATGAGGAAGATTTTACTATATAATGAAAGCTCATATGTATTTTTATAATTTAAAGTCATTGGGGTCAATACCCGGTCATTGTTTTTTGGCAAGCAGTGTGGAAAGTATAAAGAATAAATGAACAGAAACTTGTGTTGACAAAATGAAATAAAGATAACTCGTTGGCAGGTATAAAGATAACACAGTGTCCTTATCATAACTAGTAAATTTTCATTAAAATGAACCATATTTAAAACTCTGTGTGTATATCTGATTTTCAGGCCTATAATGGACATAATGAAGCTCTACACATACTATTAGGCTGTATTATGAATCTAGATATCCGAGACTCACATGGTAAGTCAGCTCATGCTCTCTCTTAAGACATTCCATATGCTTAGAGAAATGCCTAAGCGTTTCTTTTCAAAACAAGGTAGCAATACCTTTATATAAGATGCCCATGTATAGCCAAATCAATAAATGTTAAAATTCATAAACCCCTCTCCCAGAGCTAGCCAATATGCTGATTTCATACATCAGCATAACATAGTCAATGAGTATTTGGTAGACAGTCTCTGCTCCCAGCTTTGATGTCATTAAATTAAATATAGGATAATAAATGTTTTATAAGCAAATAAAATGTCAATTTCAATGTATTAACAGAAGAGTTGTATTTACAGGCCGGACCATGCTAGACCTGGCTTGTCTCCATGGCCACGCAGAATGTGTGGAGACCCTCTTACTGCAGGGGGCCGCTATTTTGGTCCAGGACAGCACCACTAGAAGGACGCCACTTCACTCAGCAGGTAGGGCTAGCTTCATTCTTAACTCTGTTCCTTTTACGGACTAGAACTGTATTATCTTGAACCCTCGTATCTTGAATACCATGGATATGTTGAACTGATTTGGAAGTCCAAGTCACATTTAACCCTTGCAAATTGATATCTTGAGTCCTTAGATATCTCAGTTTTCCTTTTACAGACAGTTGAACATTGGTAGTTATATCTCAGATACCATGTATATGTTGAACTGATTTGGAAGTCCAAGTCAATTTTATAATTGTTATCTCTAGTCCTTGGATATCACATTTTTTTTCATGGTCCCATTATGTTAGAGATAATTAGGTTTAACTGTAAAATGTTATTTGCTAAAAAGAATGTTTCAATAATTTATGAGATGCAAAGCAATGATCACATTATAGAGATTAAAGTTGAGTTTTTGAGGGAAAATAAGTCTGATTTTAACATCCATGTTTTACATTTTGAAGCTATGAATGGGCATACGGAATGTTTACGGTTGCTAATGGAAACAGCTGAAGACAGCAATATCGTAGATTGTACAGATGTTTATGAAAGGTAAAAGCTAGGCTCAAGAAGGTATGGTTTTGACGAACTTAATTTCTATTCAATTTTGGTATCTGAAGTCTAATCCAAAAAAAGTTCCTTAAGAAAAGAAAACTGATAAAATTAACTTGGTTGGTTTACCTTATATTTGTAATGATATGAATAGCCTTGAAAAAAATACATGCAGTTTTCATTTTTCCACTGTTATACTAGTGTAATATTACACTGAGATTTACTTTGTTGTAGAACTCCATTAATGATGGCAGTGGCCAATGGTCACGTCGACACAGTGTTGTACCTCATAGCTAATGGTGCCATAGTCAATGCTAAAGATAGCCAGGGGAGGACTGCTTTACATAGAGGGGTAGGTACTAGCAGGGATAAACTCATAATTGCTGTTCTATTCTATTCAAGTCACACACTTTTTTAAGGCTCATAAAGCATTTCAGGGTCATGACAGTGTTAAATGTACAAGTAATACACGCTTGTAGCAAACATGCTTACAATGAATTGATGCTTAGTTGATGCGAAGTGATTTTAATTCCCTGTGGGTTTCATACAATGTCATGCAAACAGATATAACAAAAGTTTATAACAAAGCAAAATCCCCCATCCCTGCCACTTGATATAAGCATGTTTTTCTGTAAAATGATACTAGGACATCAGAATTGTAAAGTTAGGTTTAATCATGTATATTTAAGCCTCAGTAAATGAATTTATTTAAATGTTTTTATTTTACCTGCAGGCTGCTAACGGACATGAGGAGTGTGTTGATGCCCTCCTACATAATGGAGCGGACGTTACTGTCCGCGACCACAGAGGCAGAATGCCGGCGTACCTGGCTGCTACCTGTGGTCAGGTGTGCATACTGTCCAATCTCCTCGCGGTAAGTACAGTCTAATTGTTTAATAATAAATGCTTTCTTTGATTGTTAGTATGGGAATTAATGTCGCAGCTGTTGCAGAAAAAATACATAACTGGCGTAATTGAGTTATGTAATTTTTTCAGCAATAGCTGTGACATTAATTCCTATACTAACAGACAAAGAAAGACATTTGATTGTTTTATATTTACATCTGTATGAAAAACATTCAAAGTAAAGTAAAATGTGTTAAATGTTGTATTATTGATGAATATGTCGTATGCATAAGTGATGGAACAGCCATTGTTCAAGAAATCTTTGCACGTGGCTTGCTTAGAGTCGTTTATAAATTGCACTGATTAATTGCAATTGTCTTCATAAGAAATGAAGGAAAAAATATTCAGTGGATTTAAATATTCTGTAATTTAATGACATTAAGAATGATGGGCCTGTATGATAGTTCAGATTTAAATGCAGTCAAAATACTTTTAATACAAGTACATTATCGAAATTTAATTTCCTTTTAAACTGTTCAATTTATGATAACATCAAGATATGTAGTTTTGGCAATGTCACTAATCTTGCTAAAAATACATTTGTAGATGGGACCCAGCAGTAGTAAATCGGAGGACCACTTAGGTTATACACCTTTACACATAGCTTGTTATAATGGTGAGATATGGTTATTTTTAATAATCGGAAATTTTAAAACTATTCAATTTTCATATCTATTAAAAGTCTGTAGCAAATTATATTCCTAGAGAAAATAAAATGCAATATCTTGTTTTTTTAATACAATGCAGGCCAAGACAACTGTGTGGAAACCATTTTAGAACAAGAAAAAATAACTGAGCTTTCAGGGAACCCCTTCTCACCTCTTCATTGTGCTGTGTGAGTATAGCGAGTGTACAGAACATCTGAAATTCTCTTAAATTCAGTTCAGCTTTCATATCTTGAAAACTAGTAACTTGAAGCTGATATGTCTATGCAATTTTATAGTCTCAACCCCCCTTTATTTATGTATTTTACCTTCGATATCTCTTTTCTTCTCTTCCTATTGAATTCAAGATTATGATTCTTAGCCAAATTCTGACGTACATGTACAGTAGCTAGAAAAAGTACATGTTTGATGTAAAGTACACGTCATGTAGCTCCCATTCAAACAATGGAAAACATTTTGTAACAAAGCAGTTAATGTGGGTGTATTTGAATTTAACATTAAACATGTTTTCTTATTGATGTTTAATTTACAGTACAGCAAAATCGTGTAAATTTAACATTGTTGTTTATGATTTTTTCAGGATAAATGGAAATGATACTTGTACAGAAATTTTATTAGAAGCTTTAGGTGATAAAATTGTGAACTTAACAGATAGCAAGGGAAGGTAAGAGGCTCAAAAAAGATTATATTATATGTACACTACATTTGACTGGTAGATTTTTTAAAACAATTTGAAATGCTGCAAATGTTTAACTGTTTTAAAATCTTTTGTTATCAATTTTTAATGTGAATATATTTCTCTATATAGTTTTTAGTGATAATTAAGTTAAAAAGGAATTAGAATATTTTATGATTGCCCTCTGCTCTGCATAGGAGTAACATATAATATCACATTCATGTGATATTGTCATTTCATGCCATATGGAGAATATAGGGACTATTCTTTACTGAATATAACAAGACTGTATATTGTTATTGCTTTTTAGGACCCCCCTACATGCGGCGGCCTTCAGTGACCAGTGTGAATCTATGCAAATGTTACTTAACCATGGGGCACTGGTCAACCACTGTGATACAACGGGGAAATCCCCCATCATGCTCGCTGCAGCCAATGGCCACGCAGCAGCAGTAGGCAAGTTATTTATAGATCTGTTCTTTTATAAAAATATTTCAGATTGTACATCCCCAACCAGTTGAATATTACATAAATCTACATTATCTATTGAAAGAAAACTAATTCTTTATGAAGTTAAATCCATGTTCTGGTTTTAGTGGTCTTTGGGTT